CCATGAAATATGTACTCGAACACTACAGGCCGCGTCCCGGTCTATGGTGGCCTATCGGATAACTTAACGACAACAAGTGGTGTTCATCGAGGTGGTCCAGTTCCCCCCTATTTGTTCAGTTTCCTCGTGGACTCCATCATAGAGAGTTCTCTTGCGGAGTCTCACAATGCGAGTGTTGAGGTGTTGCCTGGTGAAAGACTTATTGATCTTGATTATGCGGACGATATTGTCTTGCTGTTTAGCGATTTTGAGGCGGCCCAGTCGACACTGAATAGCCTCTCTAGAGTGGTCCCATTATTTGGTATGCGCTTCGCACCTTCAGTGCAAAGCGTTGCTGTAGGCCCACCAGCCACTTGATGACTCCTTGATTCTTGATGGCGAGGAACTCGATGTAGTTGACTAATTGTTATAATTGAGGGAACGCCGCCTCTTGAGGTAATTGCGTGACAAGGTTGTCGCTCGCACGGTTGGAGCACGCCTACGATGACGCTAGCTTAGCCGGTGAGACGGAAAATTGAACGAGCGTGGGAACGATCTTAGCCGCACTTGTTCGTATAGACGCTGAGGCCTCGAAAACGGACGCACACGAGAGGGGGTACGATAGACGCGCGCTAATGACTTAGACGCGAAGGCTGGCCAGCTAACGATTCACACGCAATCACGCGACCCGACCGACTCCCAACTGAGGCGAAGAGAAAGAAAAGACAAGTGGTCCTCTGTAGGCTCTTTTACGACCGACAAAGGGCAATCACAGCCAGTGCTATGGGTTATTAAGTTAGGAAAAAAGTCACCACGCAGAGGTGGTAGTTTGCAAATGACCATTGTCAAAAGGTTCGCAGTTGGGACGCGCCTCGGAGTGGCTGAACACTGCTGCGTTGTGGGGAGAAATTGGACTCCGCTTCCCACAGCCATTATGCCGGAGTTATTGGCGCGTTTTTTGCGGGGATTTTTGACGGGCCCGCAACACTAATTCACTTAACTTGGCAGCTGCATCAGCAACGATAGGTACATAGCAACTGAAATCAGTTCATGTTTGAAAAAACCAGAACTGCCTTCTTGAATTTGCGGTATCTTTTAGCGACAGAAAGGCGCTTCCCTCCGTCTGAATGTCAGCGTTTACAAGGCCACGGTGAGGACCATGCTACTGTATGGGAGTGAGACTTGGTGCCTTCTGTCTGGAGATATGAGGCGCCTTCGAGTCTTTGATCATCGCTGTCTACAGAACATTGTTGGTGTCGAGTGGCACCAGCGTATCCGCAACGATGTGGTACGTAGACGAATGCTAGGCAATGATACCCCTAGAACAAGTAGCACAGAATAAGTTGCATTGGCTTGGGCACGTACAACGAACGCACGGTCACCGCATACCGAGGAGAACCTTGTTTAGTCTGCCAGGTGTAGAATGACGGTAGGTTGGAGGTGGAAAAAAGTTAACTTGGCAGCGGAAAATGAAGTCATTAACGACCAAACTTGGTGCCATCGGTCCGTCTCGCCTTCCAGGCTGGAATCCACTTGATCCGCCTTGTTCTTGGCTCGAAAGCTTACAGAGAATGGCTCGCAGCCGGTACCAGTGGCGCGTCTGCTGTTATCTTGAATTCGGACTGCCTGTTCAAAGTGTGTTTGGTGCTGAGTTATCTGCGGGGTAATAGCTGATTATGACGCGTGGTAGTGAAAGCCGCAAGGAAGCTGTCTCGCCGATGCCGCCTTATCTTTGCGCGATAGCCGGCTGTTGGTGGTGATAGGTTTTTGACAAGGTGCAAGGGCTTTGACCATGGTTGTTTGCTTAGGGCGTTAAGGTTTTTCGGGAAGTCCCTCTTTTCTCCCTCATATTATTCTTCCTACCGTTGGAGTACAGAAAACTGGCTCCTTGGCGGCGTATACTATGAAACATATGCATGACAAGGATTATAAAACGTACAAGATGCAGCAAAATCTCTGAAACAACGAGAAAACACGAAAGCGCCAAAACTGCCAAGAGCAGGTTGTAGCTGCAGCAAAAATTGCTCCCAAGAGGATCCTCGCCCACCTGCAGCGGCGCCTGAGCCCTGCAGGCAATGTACCAGTGTTGGAGGGCTCAGGTGGACAGCCCCTAACTTTGAGCACAGATCGTGCGTCCGTATTGACAGCGCACTTTGCTTCCGTATTTGCAAGTGACCAGGTGTCTGTGCCGAGTTCGACGGATACAGCTCCAGGTGAACTTGATAGCCTGAATTGCAGAATTGAAGATGTATGCAAACTGCTGGCAAGTCTTGACGGGAGGAAGTCTGCCCGACCAAATGGAATCCATACACTGATTCTCAAGTCCCTATCGGCTATCATCTCGACTTCTGTGACTGAGCTGTTCATTACCGGGTGACGGAAAATGCTCAGTTTTGAAGCCAGCATCGAAAGTGGGTGACCCAAGCAAAGTTGATAACTACCGACTGATCTGCCTGACCGCTATTTTGGCATAGACGCTTGAGAAGATCATGAAGAAGGGTATTCTGCGGCTTCTCATGTCGGAAAGCCTCTTGACTCCCGCACAGCGTGGTTTCGGGAAAGATCGCTCGTACATCACCAACATACTGTTGGAGAGACACGAATAGTTGCAAGCGTCGAACCAAGGCAAGTCGGTCGACGTAATTTACATTGACTTCAGTAAGGCTTTTGACAATATGTGTCATGAGGTGCTCCTTCACAAGTTGTAGGTCTGAGACGTTGCTGACTCGTTGTACCGATGGATTAAGAATTTCCTTGTTGGTCGAATTTGGAGGATCCAGGTCGCCAACCATCTAACCAACTGGTATCTCTGGATCAGTGGCGGGCCCCAAGGCACTGTACTGGGGCCCATTTTGTTCTTGATCAATTTAAACGATGTTTCTCCGTTCATCTTGTGCGTTGTTTGCAAATGACTTGAAGATGTGAAGAGTAATCCACGCACCCAATGACTGACCTGCTTCAGCAGGATCTCGACCGCCTCTCCGTGTGGTTTGCAATGGTCAGCCTTCCGATCAACCAGGTCAAATCGCAATACATGAGGCTGGGCAAGTGTGAGCATAGTCGAACCTACACTGTGGCCGGTCAACCGTTGCATCCCGCGCATTTCGTGCGAGACTTCGGTGTACTCCCACGCTACAACCTAAAGTCAATGGACAGCACGGATAAGCTTTACCAAACGGCCTTCGTATGCTTTGGGCGCTCAGGCGCAGCTTTAGCACTTGGTCCGAAAAGATTGCCACCCGCTTCTTCATCTCAATAATACGACAAATAGTAGAGTATGGCTCCCCTGTGTGTCGTACTATCACCCGGTGCAATGTAGAAAGGATTGAGTGGGTGCAACATGTGGTCACTAGGCTGATTCCCATTTTATTACGTGTACCTTACCAAGACCGGTGTGAGAAACCTGGGCTTTACACCCTAGGTTATTGTCGACTGCGGGTTGGACTCATCATGACGCACCGGATATTACATCTCGGCACCTTAATCCCTTTTGCTTGATAACAAACTGCTGCAGTAGGCCATAAAGCTAGACTGGGTTTCGTGGAGTCTTGACAGCGTACAACGTGCCCATTGTCCAGCAGCTGTATAGGTTCGCGCACACACCCACTGAAAATACGCGAAGGCCTTTTAGATTGACAGGGGACTACTGGGTTGCCGCCTCTCTGTTTCATCAGTTCCGGTTCCAATGATCTAATTTCGCAAGTGCGCCTCGCGGTCCCCAGTAAGATTATGCATCGCAATCCATTCACAAAACGAGTGTTTCACAATAACCCGCCAAAACTACATAACGTTGGTTTAAGTCCTAATAGACTACGTGATTCGGGAGTCTGACTTTCCAATAGTCACATAGCTGCATGTGTAAAGTCACAGGCACATGGCCGATGGGGAGAGGGGGGGGGGAAACGCAGTCACCGCCTTTGCACGCAGTTCACGATCATGAAAAGAGTTTGCAGTGGCAGCCACTGCTAACATAATTCAGCTGTATTAGCCTAACTACAATGTGTTCCGAAAGTCGTCTAGTCGTCTGACTCATTATTTCTTGATAGTAAATTGCTTATTTTCTGTTTTGAAGGCAATGTGTCCGAATTGCTTTGTAAAACGACCAATTTCAAGTGAATATGATATATATATATATATATATATATATATGCCCCATGCTGAGGCTGATGTTACATTCATGATGCTTCTTCACCACAGCTGGGCTAAACCAACCTACACTTACACTAGGTCTCTTTAAGCTGGATAAATTTCATTCTACTTTATTTGGTTTGTTCTGCCCATTCTTAATAATCTTCTATTAAATGACCACTTTGCTTATGCTAATTGTGGTTGCCTTCGATAACTTTATTGCGTTTGTGGCATTTTTGAGTAACCTGGATATTTTGTACTTATCGCTGATTCGTTGTTAACCAAGTTATTTCATATGCTAATTTAGTGAAGGGTTATGTCCGCATAGCCGTGTGATTTAACAGATATATTTAATTTGATAATGTCATTCCAAGTCATTGGCTGTTGTTTGAAATCCCAGGTGCGGCTGCGCTTGATGTCCATGGTGACAAGGTGCCTACCTATCTATTACCCACTACCTCGTCCATACTGGCTTCCGGAGACAGTTGGTCGTTGCTAGAATGGTGGGGGTGCACGGTCCTTGTGATCGTGCTAGGCTCGAAGAGTGGTTCCATGCACTCATTGTGTAGCGGACTACGGTCCAGCCACTGCCTTGTGTACGATTGATTCACAAATACAGTGTGCTTGTGTTTGCTTGCGAAGGAGTGTGGGCCAGCTCCGTTGATGAAACGTGGCTCCCATCCACATGCCTCCCGGTCTCATTTCTTCGGGTTTACACTAAATATGGCGTGTGTGGTGCAGCGCAAGCCACCCATGGTCCCTCTGTAGGCGCAGGCGTCCTGTGGCTGGCCACAGTGATAGGCAAATCCGAAACCGGATGCCACGAACCATACATATGTAAATGCCAAGGGGGAGGGAAAACGCCTATCAAAATATACACCTAAAAGCACAACTTACGTTAATGGAAGGTTTCTTTGCTTGAATGGAATAGAGACCCTCTTCGCAGAACGCACGGGAAACCGTTTAGAAGACTTTGGTGGACGACCGCGGCGGCGTGCGGGAGGTGCGGCTAGCGCATCACAGACGCCAGCTTGAGCCAGTAATTTGGTGGGGAGATCCGGCTTTATATCGCTGGTCCGGGGAATGGGTTCAAAAGGGGTGGTAGCATCATTAATGTTTTCGATTCGATGACGCATGGCCACCGGAGAATTGGGTCCAGATGAACGCCTTTCGGATCGATGGCGTGAACTGAGGAAACATATCGAGTCGGAATTGCATCGGGAACGTCTGAACTGTATCGGTCGTCGGAGTAAATTGATGGAATGACTTGTGTGCGCGAGATGGTCACCGCTAATAGACAGGATGGAATGAGTGCAAGTTTCGCAGGAACCGATGCCAGAGTCAGAAGTCGTGGTTGACGAATCTCCCTGGCAAGTAGTCAGGCAGTTTATAGTGGTGTAGCAGAAGACGGCGTGCGTGCGATGTTTACTACACAGACAGGGATTTGCGTTCGCTAACAGTCCACACTTAGAGGAAAGCGACCTATTAAGCAGCAAGGAAGGAAGCCAGGAAGCTTGATTGAAACCAAGAGAATCGCAGCCATACGGTTGTTCATTGAGTTCATCTGGAGGGGATTCGCGAGGGTCTCTAAATGTAGTTGAAAAATGCGGATACGCATCATTTGTAGATTTAATACACTCAAAATTCGATTGAACGTAATCGAAAGTGCTCTTCCGATCCGAGCTCAGTTCACTAGACGGAGATTGCAGTTCGAAGGACGAAACTTTCATGGTACTGGGAGAGTCAATGCTAGTTGCCTCTTTAAACAAAGTGTAAGCGTGGGTTTGGCCTCCATAACTCAATAAGGATGGTCGTCGAACTACCTTCTGAGAGCTGCGTAGAGTAGTTTTTCGGTGCCAGTTTCTAACTTTCGGTAGAGTGAGCTTGATCTTATGCAGTAATCGAGGAACAAGACCGTGTTCACAGGCCACGCTGTGACGGAAACGACGATAGGCTAAATGCCGATTGTATATAGCGACCAGCGCTAAATGCAGCTCTGAAATAACACATGAATCGAAAATATGTGTAGTTGTGATGAGATTTAATGCGTTACAAAAAAGACAAATTTGTGCAAAACAAACAAAAAACAGCACAGCTCAGGCAAGCATTGGGAAAATGAGATGGCAAAGGTGGATGTGATTGTAACCATGAAATAGAAAAGACATTAGGAGAGGCGGCAAAGTAGGATACATGTGGGAAGAAGCGATGCTCAGATCACTCAGTGAAGTGGAATACGAGGTGACACAAGTGTATCAAACCAATCAGATGAGTTATTCGCATGGCTTGGAATCGGGAACTGCCATGGGTCAACGCGGACTTATCAGCAGCGACTTAACATGTGAGAACTAAGTCTGTAAGGAGCGACTTTTTCAACCAACACTTGTCGACACGAACACGTAGGGTATAAACCACCGAAACTGACAAGATAACATAACTACCCTTCTAAGTTGACCGTCTTTTCATCATTTGAACATTTATTATGTAAAGCTTATAGATCCAGACCTCCGTATCGTGACCGATTACGTCCAGTCGCTTGAGTGGACAACTTACTGTATTCAGTTTCAAGAATATTTGCTCACAGAAAACTAGCAAATGTTTGATCGAGCTATGGTGAATGTAACATACCGCATCAGTAGTACATTTCTATTCTGCATTGGAATGCAGCCGAAAAACGACTGTGCGTGACCGGGGCAATCGCACCCAACCCACGCAGGAACGGAAATTCAAAACACAAGTGTTAAACGTCTAAACCGTCTCAATACAAGATTCGGCGTGCTCACCATCAAGCTGCGCGAGTCCAGCTCATAGTAACTAAAAGTGAACAAAGAATTAAGGCAGACGATACTCTCCAGCCCCCAGTATGATACGGACACCCTACTCTAATCTACAAATTAAACCGCAAAACAATAGAGGCAATTGCAGCCCATGAGTGTAAAGATGGACTGCTTCGAGAATCCGCTTCAAGCTGGTCACGCGCGGCCTTAGGAGAAGGTTTAAGGATTCATATACCAGCAAACGCTTCGCGAGTGAAAAGAGTGCTGCAGCAGCGATCGAGATCAACCGCAGTTATGTCCGCACGCTACTGGCCATGGTCCGGTAGGTGGTTTGAGGCAGGCGATAACAAACCAGTGAGCAATAGTTATGCCAGTTATCGTTGAATCAATGCAATATAATCCGAGCACCGGAGCGCCGTGGATCAAGGTGTCAAGACTCGCATCACCATGACAACAGAAAAAGGACAATTAACGAGAAAATGTAAGGTAACGGGAAAAAAAGCAACAGAAACGAAACGATCACGTAGAAAATATGCAGCAAGAAGCGAAGGAGCAAACGCGAGCACCGCGCATTCCGTAACTGCGCCAATGAGGCGGCCGATTCCGCAATAAGGAAGCCGATAGATACCGGCTCGATCAAGCCCTACGATCAGTTTCTTTATGCAGCTGTGACATTGTCTGGTGATTCTGAAATTTCACAATATCGGAAGTAGTACTCGTGCACAATAACGGACGGACCAAACGTATGAAAGATTCGGCTATAGAAATGCAGATGGTCCGAGTGAAAACGGTAGCCATGTAATAAGGTGAAAAGTTTGGTGTGAAACAACAACTATCGGGCTTCCGTAGTAATCAGTAGACGGCCATAGAAGTTGTGGGCAGTGGAGCGTAGGCACACTTATCACAGAAGACCAGTTTCCCAAAACGTTTGGGCTTGGATCCATCTGGCTTGACGAAACCGAACTGTAATATGGTGTGGTGCTTTGCGCATCTCAGTGATTAAGAGAGTTGGGCTGAACAGCACTTGCCACGTGCCTTCGAGGCCACGCACACCAGACAGCCCAATGGCTAGTCAAACCTAGAGGTAACGAGCTTGTCTCGTAATACTGCGGCGTGGGTTCGAATCCACGAAGGGGTGGGCGTCCTTGCGGTATACTCAGCCCTCGTGCGACTGGTGGTGGTCGTACGGCATCGAAGAGCCGTTACGCCGTACAGCTGACACATTTATTTTTATTAACAAATGATTGGGACCGTCCCTAGGCAGCTACTTCTCCAGCCAGCATTTAAAAAAACTGAAGAGATTTCAGGAGCTGCAGCGATGAAAAGTTGGTCACAGTAAATGTTCGGAGCTCCGCTAAAGTCAGTAACGGTCCCCATTCTTACGGAGCTGCAGAAAACTGAGTACCAGAACACTCGAATCGAACACACACGGTCTGATGTACCGATGACAAAAATTCCATCGCAATGAGGCTGGACCTTACCGTGGTGCGATGGTTTATGTGCCTCAGCGATCCATTGAGCTATGCTGAGTGGTGCTTTTGCACCTTCAGAGTCACTCATACCAGATTGGTCAATGGTTAGAGGCCAGACAAACTCAGCCTCCTGGTCCTCCAAGTTGGGGGTTGGAATGAGGGTGACACCTTATTCCTTAAAACGGACTCCTTGTAGCCCACCGCCAAACCCGCTGCCTTGCGGCCAGGTTTTTGAACCAAAGGTTTTGGTTGAGAACCCTAATCGTTCTCCTGTCTAGGCCTGGGCAACCTGACAGTATCCTGTCCACGCAATACTATGAATCTTACCTCAAACAATTTCTTGATGCTCTGGCCACCGCAGAGGATAATCAACGGTGCCCTATCTGCTGCATCGAGCAGGGTGGATAGGGGTTTGGATGCAACTTCTCAAGCCTTCCCGTCTTCTTATTCCCCATCTTACGCTTTTTCACTCTTACCGTCCCCTTCCAACTTCACTTATATACCCCCAGTTTTCAACCCCCGATTCTCGGCCCTCCCCCAACATGCTTTGCCAGGCATTTATCTTCTAATTTCAACTCACATGTGAACGCGGAGCGTCACTCCTCTCCTGTCGGCAAGCCCATGTCCAACCAAGCGGTCCATTCCAGTTCATCGGCTTCCATTTGGAGCCCTCGATCCTCCTTCAGATTGGCATGCCTCAATGTTCGCACACTGCTACAAATCGGTCAACAGGCAACACTTGCCCGAACATTGGAGAACCTCTCGAACGATATCTGCTGCTCATCAGAGACTCGCCTGCAAGACTCGAGCTCTGTGCTCACTCTGCGATCCCCTTCAGGTGACGCAAGCAGTATTTTCTCATTGCGCCTATCCGGTGACGATGCAGCTTCGAGCACCGGCCAAGCTGGTGTTGGCATTGCCCTGAGTCCCCGGGCTGAAGCTGCTCTGGTTGAGCGGATTCCAATCAGTAGCCGGGTGTGTACGGTCCGATTGCCTGGCTCGTTTAAAGTTTCGAAGTCACGCGGGACTAATAGATGTCTATTCATCATCGCTGCCTACGCGCCCACAAACTGTAGCGATGATTCGGTAAAGAACAACTTCCACCGCCAACTGACCCAGCTCCTTCGCCACAGAAGAAGCTCGGACACTGTTGTGCTGGCGGGGGATATGAACGCACAAATTGGAAAGTTGTCCACTGATGAAATGCATCTGGGCGGTCAACACGGTGTAGGCTCCCGTAATGATAACGGTGAGCGGTTACTTCATTTGTGTGAAGATGCTCGCTTATTTCTTGCGAGCACTAAGTTCCGACACAGCACCCGCCGGAGGGTGACTTGGCGCCCACCAGCCTCGAACCAGCCTTGGACGCAGATCGATCACATTGATATCAGTTACCGCTGGAGAGGCTGCATCCAGAATTGTCGCTCGATCTGGAGCGCATGTGTAGACACCGATCATGCACTTGTATGTGCTGACATGCGGATGCGCTTTGGCGGACGCCCACGAAGACGATGTGAGCGCAATGACACCAGCCAACTGACAAAGCCAGCTGTTCTGAATGCGCATCGAAGTACGCTGACATGCGAGTTGAGTAATCGCTACCTGGAGACAATTGATGGTCACTGGTCACATGTTCGCCAGACCTTACTAGCAGCGGGCAAATCCTCATGTGGTATGTCTAATAGCCAACATGGACATTGGGTCTCTTCTCGGTCTCTGGAACTTATCGACGCTCGCCGGCCCATCCCGGCTGGAAGTGAACACAATGAAACTCGCAAAGAGCTCCGGGCAAAACTCCGTGCTAGCCTGAAAAGAGACCGCGAATCTTGGTGGTCTCATCGGGCGTCAGAGATGGAAGTGGCCGCTGCCCTTGGCAACCATGGTAAGTTATTCCGTCTGATACGGGAAACGGGCAGCAGGAGACCTGGTGTTAGTGAAACAATTTGTGACCAGAGTGGACAGCCTATCCACAACTTGTCAAAACGTTTGGAGAGTTGGGCTGAGCATTTTGAAAAGCAATTTAATCGGCTAGAATTGTTCGATTCGCCGGTCACTGATCGCCCTGCTCCGTGGGCTGTGCCTTTGGATCCACCCTCCCGCTCAGAATTCGAAAGTGAGATCGGACTGTTGAAGTTGAACAAAGCCGCAGGACCAGATGATCTTCCTCCAGCCCTCTTCAAATCCGGAAGCCCTGCTCTTGTTGATGCTTTACATGAATTACTAGTGAAACTGTGGGAGCAGGAGACTGTCCCAACCGACTGGAGCCTCTCCGTTATTGTTCCCATCTTCAAAGGCGGCTCGCGCTCGGAATGCGGCAACCATAGAGGAATCAGTCTGATCTCCATTGCCTCCAAATTACTCGCCTCCATAATTCTTCACAGACTGACTGGCGCTCGTGAAAGCCAGATTCGTGAGGAGCAAGCCGGGTTTCGTCGTGGTCGTGGCTGCATCGACCACATCTTCGACTTGCGTCAGTTGTTGGAGCACCGCCACACATATTGGCGGCCCACCGTAGTCGTGTTCCTCGACATCAAAGGTGCCTTCGATTCGGTTGATCGATGTGCCCTTTGGAATTGTCTACTAAGGAAAGCTGTGCCCGAGAAATATGTCAATATTATCCAAGCATTATATGCGCGTAGCACGGGCAGAGTGAGTGCTTACGGCAAGCTGTCGCCACCCTTCAATATCTCCAGCGGTGTGAGACAAGGATGCCCGATGTCACCTTTCCTCTTCAACTACGCTATTGACGA